AATGGAGCCTGCCTTATAATGGAGCCTGCCTTATAATGGAGCCTGCCGGTCTTGGAGTTTTGGATGGGAGACCCTGGGTCATTTCTGGTTAGGGAGCATGGAAATTCTGAAAGTGTCCTGCCAGATGCAATCTCCCCCTTCTCACATTGACCTCGCACAGAGACGGAGGTGCAGGGACCTTAGGAGCATCTCAGGAGAGACTTTTGGGGCACTCTGTGTATGGTTCTTCTCTACCTGGATGCTTTCTGGCTTATTTCCTTGTGAGGAAGGGGCACCTGAAAATGAGGTCAACGACCCTTATTCGTCCTCTGTTTCCATGCTGTTGGTGCTGAGTACCAATAGCTACAGCACTGGAGTGCAGGTGTGTGCATATAACTGGCAGATATTGTGTGCTGGAGCTGCGTGTCTATGGCTGGTGATAAACATGTCCAGGGAGACAGCCAAACGTATGCATGCTGGAGCCAGCAAACTATCAGTGGTGTTGGTGGAATCCTCCAATCTTTGATCCAGGTTTCTGAGTGCCTCCAACAAACCTATTTGTGACCCCCTTCTCAGCATATTAATGCCTAACACCATTGGGGTTCCCTTCTGCCTGACGCTGAGCACGTACCTGGTCTCCAGCAGTCTTCCCAGTACCTGCGGAGTTTCTTTCTCAGCAAGCCACAGAATCGTGGCCATTATGTGCTCACCAGAGAATGTGCACCTGACTTTAACCTCACTCATGAGGTATCAGTATCTGAGCTGGTGGAGGTTGCAGGACACAACCTTGAAGGTCAATCCTCGGAGGAGTTTGTGGCTACTTCCTCAGGAGTGGAGGAGGCGATGTTGGTTGGGAGATCTGCTCACCTCAGGATGGAAACAATGTGGATCTGTTGGTGCGTGTTGACGACAAAGAATAAGTAGCAGCATAGGTGTGGTAGCTTGGGTATATTGAGAATGCATTCACAGTGGTGGTAATGTGGGAATAGTGTCGAAATTTACAATGAATCTTATTTGGTTAAAAGGACATGGTGGTCTCAGCACCTCCACATGACCACCTGAGCAATCTCCATCCACTATTGTAAGCTAATGCTTTTTCTCCTTGTACTGGGTGATAACATGAATGTTGGGCTCCCCAGCTTGGCTCTTAGACCCCTCTTGTAAGTCATTTTTTTGTAATGAGACAAAGGAATGGATTGGGTGAGATTAAAGTGGCTGGCATGTGCAGGCAAATTGTTGAGCCTCCTGAATGAGTAGAACCCACAGAGGGCATGCAGGGTTAGTAGTGTAGAGTGTTGGGTGGATGAGAACCACTGAAGATTGATGCTGTATACAGTGGCGAAAATGGTAGATCATGAGTCTTGGTGGGAGATGTGTGTGTCTGCAGAGTTAGTGAGTATGAGGCAACAGAGAAAAGACTGTGGCATTCACCCATTCAGAGCACAGAGATCATTAAACTTCTTTGTACACTGCTGGACATTCCTCAAACCTTGGACACTGCACTAAACCAGGTGGTAACTTCAGACCAGGCCGTCCAGGTCTAGTTCATACTGCCATTTGCCGGTTTTAAGAAAACCAGATGACCCGCCTCTCAAGCACCTTGTTCACCAGGATCTTCAGGTCCCTGTAGCAAATTTCAGTGCCAACTAGTTTCAGTTGATCATCTTTGGAGTTATTGTTCTCACACTTCAACTGTGAAAGGCTACTCCTGACTTGTAGCATTTGACCTGGTGCACACTTGGGATTTAAACATGTTATCATTGGCGTGAATCTTAGAAGGTCCTGGCAGCCGCAAGCATTTCTGCCATTGGGTGAAGGCACAATAGCACGAGGGCAGTGCCTCAGAGGCATGGTGTGTACACAATGAGGTGAGTAGTAATCATGCATGAGATAACTCGCCAGAGCTCAGGGGAGTAACCCTCCATGAAGCTTTGAATTTTTGGTTAAATTCAAAGCAATTATTTTTGGCCCCCAGCAAAAACTGAATGCCTTATGAGCCAACTCTATTCCTTGCCCTGACAAGCTTCTAACTCTGACAGTTTACAATTTTACAAAGTGAGCTTCCAATTACATATTCATGCCATCACTAAGACTGCCTAATTCCACCTCCTTAGCATCACCGATTATGCATCTTCCTCAGCTCATCTGTTGTTGAAATCCTCATCATGCCTTCATTGCTTTTAGTTTTGCGCTTTACAGCACATTACTGGCAAGCCTTCACTTTTGATCTTTCATAAACATGAAGTTATTCTAATTGCTTGTGCCTAGGTTGTAATTCACACTAAGTCTAATTTACCCGTCACCCCTGTGCTCGTTGGTCCAATTTGTCTCCTCATTATGCAACTCATCAACTTTAAAATTCTGATCTTGTTTCCATCTTATTCCATGGTTTCATACCCCACTAACCTTTGTACCTGTCTAGGCCCACATGCTTTGAAGGCATCTCTACCTCTCCAATTCTGGAATTAAGAGTCTAATGATGACCATGAAACTGTCATTGATTATTAGAAAAACCCTTTTGGTTCACTAATGACCTTTTAGGGAGGGAAACTGTCATCCTTACTTGGTCAGGCCTATATGTGACTCCAGACCCAGAGCAATGTGGTTGACTCTTAACTGCCCTCTGGGCAATTAGGGATGGGCAATAAACGTCTGCTGGTGACATCTGCATCCTGTGAATGAATAAAGAAAGTTAAACATTCCCAAATTTAAATGTTCCATCAATGACTGCTACGACTTCAGCTACTGAAGCCTGAACGCTAGAATTCTCTCCCTAAATCTCTCCACCTCTCTATCGTGTACCTTTTTTTATTTTCATTGTTTAAAACATGCATTAAAACCAACCCTGATTATGCTTTTGGGCAAATGACCAGATGTTGTCCAATGTGACTTGGTGTCAAATTTTCTTTGATAATACTTCTGTGAAGACAAAAAGTGCCTGAAAAATATTTTATTAAATATGTAATATAAATAAAAGTTTAAAATACTTTTTCTTGACTGAGAATTTTAGGTTTAATGGGGTAAGTGTAAAATAATAGCTAAATCTTTTGAAATTGAAAAAACACTTCCAAACTCAGTTCTGTGGATAACAGTTAATGCAAGATCACTTGTCAGTTCTGACATGCATAGTTTTTTTCTTAACCAAAGAGTCATCAGGTGGATAGTAACTGAGTTGGCTAGCGTGTTGTCAAGAATAACACCAACAGGCCAAGAATGTAATCCCGATTCCAGCTGAGGTGAACTTGGGACTTGTCTTATTGTCTTTGCCTGTACTAAGATCATAGCATCTGTCAGTCCCCCTCAAATTAGCAGGGGTGCCACCAAAAGAGGAACAGGGAAACTGAAAAAAAACCATGAAAAGATCTGGGACCAAGGCAGGTGGGTATGTGTAATAAAATTGTAAGCTAGTCATGATTTTAATGAGATAACAAAGTGTAGAGCTGGATGAACACAGCAGGCCAAGCAGCATCAGAGGAGCAGGAAAGCTGACATTTTGAGTCTGGACCCTTCTTTGGACAGG